GGGGGCCATTAAAGGGCGGAGCCAACCCAATACTGAACCCTACGGACTAAGACTGGGGGGCCATTAAAGGGCGGAGCCAACCCAATACTGAACCCTACGGACTAAGACTGGGGGGCCATTAAAGGGCGGAGCCAACCCAATACTGAACCCTACGGACTAAGACTGGGGGGCCATTAAAGGTCATGTGCGTGTGAAGGCGTCCCAATACTAATGGCGATATGGTGTATGTACATAAAACCTGGTTACACGGATGTATAAGGGAATAACAATCCGATACCAAACACACCACCAGGCCCAGCAGGTGAATGGGACACAAGAGACCTCCTCAGCGGAACGTACACAACGAATTGGTTATGATAATTCTGTAAGCCAAGTGAGGGAAACCAGAGACCCGACAAGCACTACTGATCCCGGTTACTGATTGGTTACAAATTGTCTGCTTTGTAACATTTGTTTTCTTTTAATCAAAATATTTGAAAATCGATTTAATAAAATCTCTAAATCAGAAAAGGACAGAATCTTCGCCGCTGTGACGGCTTCCGCATTTTAATACTGTTGCATTCCCGTCTGGGTGTGGCGGCGAGTGTCTCAGACATGAACATGATGCATTCCCAGGGGGGGGGGGCTTGACTCCCCATGTTGAGGGTTTATGACCTGGTAGAATTCAAAAGGGAGGGGACTGCACACTTGGGGTAAGGATATTTGCCTTCTGCATTTTAATAGTTACATTCCTGTCTGGGTGTGGCAGCGAGTGCCACAAGCCTGCTACAATTCAGGGGGTGAGGGGGCCACACACTCACTGCCCTCCCTTTCCTGGCAATCCAGGCTGCGTGCCTTGATAAGGACCTGGTGTGAAATTAGAGGGGCCCTTCCATTCCAAAATCCACACCAGGCATGCAGCCTAGTTAGCAAGAAAAGGGAGGGGCAGCGAGCATGCTCTTCCCTCACACCAGATTCACACAACCCCCTCCCCCTCGCAGAGGAAGTCTTTAATCAACTCTGATCAGAGAAGAGCCCAGCCACGTGATTTCTGAGAAGTATATCAAGTTGTGCTTCTTTCCAGTGTCAGATCTCTCATGAGACATTTCCCGCACGCAGGACACCAATACGCCTCAGGGGTTGTGTGGGTTTTCCGATGTTTGGTAAGACGAGTCCTCTGTGAAAAACGTTTCCGGCACTAGGGGTGGGAATATTTTCTTAGCCTTGTGAGTCCTCTGATGAGCGTAGAGGTGGCTCACCTGTGCAAAACGTTTCCCACACTCATTGCAGGCATACGGCTTCTCCCCCGTGTGAGAGCGTTGATGTATAACGAGCTCCGATTTCAGTGAAAAAACTTTGCCACACTCCGAGCAGGAATACGGCTTCTCCCCCGTGTGGTTCCTTTGATGGATGGAAAGATGGTACTTCCGTGTGAAACACTTCCCACACTCCGAGCAGGCATACGGCCTCTCACCCGTGTGAGTTCTCTGATGCGTGGAAAGATGGTACGTCCGTGAAAAACTTTTCCCACACTCCGAGCAGGTATACGGCTTCTCACCCGTGTGAGTTCTCTGATGTATTGAAAGACAGGACTTATGTGAAAAACTTTTCCCGCACTCCGAGCAGGGATACGGCTTTTCGGCCAAGGGAAATTTCTGGTATCTATGCAAATCGGACTTTTTGACAAAACTTTCCCCGCACTCCGGGCAGGTATAAGACTCCGGACACCTGTGACATTGTTTATGGACCAAAATCATTGGAAGGACGGCCCCGTCCAACCAAGTCTGAGGTTCCTCAGGATGAGAGGAATACGATGGTCCGTCCGTACTGTGGGGCCCCTGATGGACATTATGGTCTTCTCCTGGACTATGCTGTGTGATGTCCTCATCTTCTGGAGACAACGTGAGACGTTCCTCTGAGATCTTCCCGACGTCCCGTCCGTGGACTACAAATAGAAAGAAAGAGATTATTGGTTGGTTCACCTCACCCTGGACTCTGCCCACATCGGTCAGATTTGTCTCGGAGGACCTCACGTTCCTCCCCCTCAGGTGACCAGGAAATGATAGAGCAACTGCTATGGTGAAAAAACTAAATTTTTCTGCCAGCTGAACCCCCGAAGCTACATGAACCCCGTCTGCGTGATAGAGAGCGAGGAATATCCGAGAGGCAGAAGATCTAATGTGCCGGACGGGGAACACAGTACAGGAAAGTGACCATTACCAGCTCATTACAGGCCGTTATCACTCAGTCCCCGCCCCCTACTCTGGACCAATCACTGAGCAGAGGAATGTATTTATTGTTTATGACCCACCTGTGCTGATCTCTGTAGGCATGTCCTCCTCTATGGACGTCCTCATCATCCCGGCCTCCTCCGTATATCGCTGATCATCCCTCACATACGTCTCTTCTACTTCACCCTCAACTTTCATCTTCATCAGATCTTCACCCTAAACCCGGAAAATGAGAGAGAACGTCTGTGAAGTAGAAGCTTTAATGACGTGAGACCACCTAGAAGATATCAGATTCCATATCTCCAGGGTGAGGTTTAATATCCTCTTGGTCATGTGACTCCGGTCCTCCTCCGTCATTGGTGCAGTCCTCTATGAAGGTCTCCCTGTAGACGGATAACATTGATATCAGAGAATATCCGGGACGGACTCGAGATGGAAGGACTATGGGAGGAGGACGTATGATGGACGCTCTGTGAAGCTCCTGGGTACGTCTACGCTCCCCTCACCTGACACAAAACCACAATAGAAAACTCCGATGTCGGTGATCTCCTCGTCCTCCGGAGACTTTGCTGATGAATATCTGAGGTTAAGTTCTATAAAAGTTTGGTGACTTCTTCAGGGTCACTTACGGGGGTGAGGACAATTCGTCACTTTCCCTCCAATGACCTTTCCACCTCCTCCGTCGATTCCAATGGAATAGGAAGGATTGATCGGGATGAGGATTTCAATGATCGGGTCTTTAATCTAGAAGTTGTAATAAGGAAAACACCCCTATATGTGTGTATCAGAATCTTCCGGAGATAAAAGACGTCACGGTGACTATGGAGGACGGACATGACGGGGGGGCTGCTGGATGTACATATAACATAATATCTTATTACCTCCTCTGCTGCCAGTTCCAGCAATGTCTCCTCTCTACTTCCTCCAAAATCACCTCAGAGCTAGAACTTCCTGTCGATGTCATAGAGACTTCCTGTCTGGGTATAGGTGAGATCGCCACCTGGTGGAGCTCAGAGGAACTGCAGCCCCGAGAAACCTCTCGTAGTGTGAACACGGCCTTGTGCTCTGTGTGTGTATCCTTATAGTTGGGGTCCTGGGAAGGGGTATCACTCCTCCTCCTCGGTGCCCTGGTATGCACCCCGATATCTCATCCGGCGGAGCCTTCCCACGTGTTGTCATCTCCGAACTTAGACGCCATTTCATCTTCTTCAACCAGCAATGTGATCCCCAACCAGTGAGAAAGCTTGAGTAGTCATCTCATTCTCAATACCGTGTTGGCGCCGGGATACTCGGTATTGTGACCGCTGCCGCGGCCTCAGCAGACGCATCTGAGAAGGTGCGACTCTCTCTTCTCTGACTTGTAGCAGCGTGGTGTGTGTGGCGCTCACCCCCGGAAGGAGCCGCTGGATATGAACTTGGGTCTAGAGGGTCGGGGGGTGCAGGATGCCCGAGTAACAATTCGGAGGACTCTGTCGTCTCCCTTAGCAACGGCTTGTATCAGAAGCACAACGGTCTGTTGAAAAAAAAATTATAGTTACACTAAGAAGCCATGTTTTTTTTTTGGTTTTCTTTTGGTGTGGCTTACAAACGCCCCCCAGCTAGGATGGAGTAAGATGAGAGCCTGGTCTGAACGTAGGCATATTATTGGAGCTACATGCGGGTGGAGGAAGGTAGCGACTGCTGAGAATAATGATTCGGCTCTTGAGGTTTATTTCCAGGATCCGTAACGAGGCGAAACTACATATCCAAAATGTGGGACCCCGGAGAAGTAGCAGCCGGCCGAACTTGTGGTGGCAATTGGACTTCATTCATAGCGCTCATCGTGCACATAGTTAGTGGTGGACAGATCTTACACGCGGCCTAGCTAGGAAAAAAAAAAAGAGTGACTTGGATTGGTCTCAGGGTGCGGCGGAGGATGGGAAACGAAACGACATTGCCCCCATTTTAATGCGCACAGACATCGCCTAGGAGTCTGCATGGGGGAAGGTCCGCCATGGACAGTAGAAGAACACGCGTGGTTGTTTTGCATAAACTTTCAGTAATCCCCGAGCTCACCATATTGCTGAGTGCTTTTTAGTTTTTTTTTCCCCCCCTCTTACTTGCACCATTAAAATCAGTGGGTGGAAGTTGGAGGAAGCAGAAGTTCCTATCAACATATAAACCGTACTGAAGTGCTAAAAACGACCGTGTTTCGCGGTCTATCAGACGCTCCGGACGATAGGACGCCGGGCTTCTGTGGCAGACGTTCTGTCACAGAAGCTGCACTTACTGACCGCTGGAGGCAGGTGGCGCTGTCTCGGTAATCGCAAAGAGCGACGTTCTTCGTCTGCTCGAGGGGCTCTATGGCGAGCTCCTACGGGGGATCGTGACGGGTCACGGTCTGACGGGGGAACCCAGAAAACCACGGCGGGGGGGGGCGGACACGATCGCCGATGCCGCTCGATTTAATACAAGGGATCCAATTAGATCGCTTGTATTAAACGAGCGCCGGCGGCTCCCGCTGTACATTCAGCTCTGCTTGTCGGGAGCCCGGCTGAATGTACAAAAAGAAACTACTCGCCCGGCGCCCGAAACTGCATGTCCCGGGGCGTCGGGCGATAAGTATTCGCTCCATAAGACTCAGGCACATTCCCCCCCCTCTTCTTTTGGGGGGCAAAAAAGTGCGTCTTATGGAGCGAAAAATAAGTGTCAGTAGTTCGATAGGACCGTGTCTATTCAATCTTCAGGCACACATCTTCGAGTCTTTGTCCCCCCCCACACACACTTATGCACACCTATTACTAGACATGTGCAAAGCCTAAACATTTGTTTCGGACGAAATAAACAGTAAATAAAACAGTCTTATGCTATTTTGGATTCGGCCACCAGCGCAATCTGCGCATGCCTGCCACCATCCTGGAGGCGGGGCACATGACATCACACACCGCCCACGTCTGTTGGGGGGCACATTTTTCTGTCCTTGCGGGGCACAGAGCGTTATTGCTGGATTGAGCTTGCCCGTAGTCCCGTCATATAAGGCAGCTGACGAGCAAGACTAGTTTGTAGTGAAATTACAATCTGGGTAAAGGAGAACTACGAGGGGGAGGGGCTTGTCACTCCTCCTCGTAGTTCTAAGCCGACCTGTGACAACGAGACTGTCACGGGTCGGGCTCGGTAGATCGGGAACACATACCGGCGTTCGCTCGCCTCTCCATCCTGTCACGGCTCTCTGCCCCGGGACAGGGGGGAGGGGCCGGATTCCCCCCCCCCGCTCCGATCCTCCAGCGCTGACTGGCGGAACGGACGGGTACAGCTGGCTCCGCCTCTAGATAGCTGTCAGTCACGCAGCTGGGCGAATCTCCAACGTCGGGATCCGCTCCAGCGCTCTCGGTATACCGCGAGCTGCAGCTCCCTATAGACTGAGCCTAGGGTGACGGGAGGACGCTAGCTTGTGTCCCTCCCCCGACCCTGAGGAGAACTATGGGGGAAAGTCTTAACCCGGTAGTTCTCCTTTAAGGGATCGAGTCAGTTAGCATGGTGTAAGGTGATATATGTGATATGTAGATTTTCCTATCATGAGGGATATTGGTGAATTGTAGTTTAGTAATATCCATGGGGGAATAGCGTGTGACGGTGGTATGAATGGGTTCCGGCTCTGTAGGCCTGCCCATGTGGGCGAAGGAACTGTCTCCGAAGAAAGGCCGCTATGCAGGAACGTCAGCAGGACTGGAGTAACGCAGATATCCATTTTCGGTGGTTTGTTATTGGATTGTGTGTGCCGATATAGGCACCAAACGGTGGAATGTTGGAAGCTAAAATAATTGACATCTATGATACATCGTTGATGGAAAGGTTCCTTGGTATCTTGAATGGAATCAGCAGGTGGCTGATATGTAAATGAGGGCCATCAAAGGGTTCTGGACACTGAGGAATGAAGATCTGCCAGGACGGTCATGTCCTGGGGCAAAGCCCGACCCCCCTGCTGGTATGTGATCTCTTACAGGGTTCCAGACGGCTCCTCTCACCAGCTCCTCCGCGACACTCCTCGATAAGACGACTCCAGCCCGGCTTCCATCAGGTTCCTTTCCAGTAGTATCTTAGGTCTCTGGGCCCCCAGCATCTGACACGTAATGTGGCCTAGACCAGGCGTCCTGTAGTATCTTAGGCCCCTAGGCCCCCAGCATCTGCCACATGCTGAGGCCCAGACCAGGCATCCTGTAGTATCTTAGGCCTCTGGGCCCCCAGCCCCTGCCACATGCTGAGGCCTAGACCAGGCATCCTGTAGTATCTTAGGCCTCTGGGCCCCCAGCCCCTGCCACATGCTGAGGCCTAGACCAGGCATCCTGTAGTATCTTAGGCCTCTGGGCCCCCAGCCCCTGCCACATGCTGAGGCCTAGACCAGGCATCCTGTAGTATCTTAGGCCTCTGGGCCCCCAGCCCCTGCCACATGCTGAGGCCTAGACCAGGCATCCTGTAGTATCTTAGGCCTCTGGGCCCCCAGCCCCTGCCACATGCTGA